GCAAAGACTCAATACTTTGGTTTAATTGATCATGATTAGATGTTAGATTCAATACCTAGGCATTATTGCATATATTTAGATATTGCAGAACAAAAATAAAGATGCAAATTTAAAGTATTCATCTTCATTTTCTTTTCTGATTAAGATAGATTACGAAGGTGGTTAACTGTAATGGAATTTGTTTCATCCAATATATGAAAGTAGTTGCGATGATTTTTCAAAACTGATCGTGGATATTATTGGTGGAATCCTATCAGAACAAAGGCACATGTTACGTTGTGAATATTTTAGCATTACTTTCTGTTTACCTTGGGAGAGATAAGTAAATAACTAAATTACATGCTAAATTGTTCCTCGCCCCTAGGCCTCAACAAAATTACAGAGTTGATTAACTGAACATGCTTGAAATCAATCAAGCCTGATTATTTTTGGCTTTTGGTGAATGGAACACTAATAAGAAACCACAAGTGACAAACTGTAAACGCAAACAATAGGTTTTCACATAATTCTCAGAGACGATATGTCACAAGACTCGCAACAATGTATCGAAATCGGACGACAAACTTTTGTTCTCGCCGAGTTTTCGACAACATGAACATGTAAAGATCCCAAGAAGCACGACAACGTAAAAGCCCACAAATAACTAATTCAATTCGTTTTTTGTTTTAGGGTTCCTTTTTGATGTCTCGTCCCTTTTTACCCACAGAAGAAGAAAAATATACATCATATTTAGGGATAACTGGTGAACAGAGGTAATGGGAGAGACCAAAACCTATTGTTGAACCTCAAAAGCATTCCTCTGGGAGATAATCCCTTTTAGCATTCACACCCTGTAGACCTCTGTTGATTGCTCGTCCCGACATCAATTGTGTCTGGCAAGTATCTGCAGAAGAAAACAAACAAAGAGAATGTTAAGACCAGGCCCGCGATTCAAAAGGTGCATGGAAGTATGATTTGTTTTGAAACTTACAGCTCTTCCTCTTCTCCGCTCTTCAACGCGTTCTTGGCAATGCATTGGAAAGCTTCTTCCACATTGGTGCCTTCTTTAGCAGAGGTCTCAAAGTAAGGAATGTTTCCCTTTGAAGCACACCAGGCTTTAGCCTTTTTCTCTGAAACCTGTGATCAAGTCAATTGTATTTGGACATTAATGTAACATTACAGCTTCAAAAAATTCATGAACAGGTGGAATATAATGTAAGCACATACCACTCTGCTGTTTCCACCATCCACGTCGACCTTATTTCCGATTAGAACAAATGGAAAATTCTCTGGATCAGATGGACTCGCCTGTAAGAGATATCACACTTGCGTTACTGATTTGCCCTATTGTGAAAATCTCTTAGCAGGGAGGTGAGAAAAAAGCATGAATATATTTACCTGGATCAGAAATTCTTCTCTCCAGTTGTTCAGATTATCAAATGATTTCATGGAGTTGACATCATATACAAGAACACAGCAATCAGCACCTCGGTAGAACGCTACACCAAGGCTCTGAAACCTTTCCTGTCCAGCTGTATCCCAGATCTGTAATAACCCATTGACAAAACAAAAGACAGGAACACCATTAAGAGCCACATGAAAATATCCTAGTGACTTGTCTCATTCAAACCTACTTAAGCCAGCAAGTAATTTCCATCACAAACAAAACATCCTCCTGATTTATTCTAAAACAAAGTGAATAATTTCCTGACACTACTACAAAGCAAAGTCAATATAGGTAGCATGATTAACCAACAAGGTTTAGCCAGAATTTTCTGGCAGAAACTCATTAGTTAATAGTTTCTTTCTAAGCTATTACCCTCCGCTCAGCCTCAGAGTCAGCAACTCTCTTTTGAACACGACTCCAGCACCATTGTGCTTAGCACATGCAACTTACGTAGAATAAAAAAGCTAAGTAATTTACTGAGAAAGCACTAGCAAGAACCTGTAACGTGAAAAGTCTATCTTCAAACTGCACTTCCTTGGTCAAGAAGTCAGCTCCAATGGTCGCCTTGTACTGGTTGCTGAACTTTTTATTAACATATCTTAAGTTATCGTGTTAAAACAAAACAAAAGCACAAACTAATCCAGCTCTATAAAGATTTGGCCAATGCATAAAACGAGGCCAAATAATCTGTTTTTCTATATCTAGAAAACTACAGTAGTATACTTGTTACTCCATTCAAACAAAAGTAGGATACTGATTCATCAAAGAGGTTTTCCCCACCCTGCAAAACCACAAGTTAGAGAAGCCCAAATCAGTTTCCCTCAAATAAACATAACACCAATAGATCATCAAAGATACACACTAATTTCATGTAGTCATTACACAAACATTTTCTGCTGCAGGACAGTCACACCCACTAAGCAAAGAAAAAAAATTGAGTCCAAAAGAGTCCATCAAGAGAACCATCCCACATTCGATAATACCGAAATTCTTCCGAAAGTTTTCTCCTTTTCAACAAATCCAACATGCAAACATAAATTTACTTGAAAACAATCTGTATAGACTAAAATCGTGGTAATCAGTAAACTCAAGTTGGTTCAAGACTAGCTCAAAACCCAATATTTCAATTTAGCAAAGAAACTAAGAGCCTCGGAAAGTTCTGATATTTGATCAGCAACACAAAACTAAACCTTCAAACAAGATCTATTTCGAGTGATTGATTAATCCAAACAAAACTCAGCACCAACGAAATCAGCCAAACTAAAAGATCAACAAATCATATAATCGGAATCTTAAAACTTCGAAGGAAGCCGAATTAAGACGAAATCCGGCCTAAATCTCAAAACCCAGACAGCGAAATCACCCAAATAGTCATCGGAAACCACAAAATCACCAGTACAATCACATATACAAACATAAAAGTTAGAATTTCTTAGAAACCTAACCCGCTATCTCCGAGGATGATGACTTTGAGGAGGGTACGTCTACGGGAAGGCATCGAATCTGAGGATAAACGGATCTAAGAGCGAGAGATTCTTCGATCTCTGGTAATTTTGAGGAAGATGGTGTTTTTTTTGTTTCTCTCTGTGCCCTGAAGAGTCTAAGCTGTTCCTGATCTGTCTTCTAATTTCTCAGGCGACTAGTATTTTGTCTTTATATTAAAAGAGAACAAATAATTATGTTTCTCCTTTGTGTAATTTAATATTAAAATTTATACTGTTTAATTTGGAGTAACTTAACAAGAAGCTCTTGTAGCTCAGTTGGTTAGAGCACCCGTTTAGTAAGCGGGAGGTCTTGAGTTCAACTCTCAACGAAAGCATTCTTTTAA